CCCCGAAGGAGCGGAGCTCTGGGGCTCCTGGGTGAGCCCCGGCTGTCCGCGTCACCGGGACAGGACTCGCCCAGTCCGGTGCCTGGCCCGTTGGCTGTGGTCGGTTCTGGACGCAGCGGGGGAAAGGCAGGGGCCGGGCACGTATCTAGGGTTGTGCCTTCACCGTTCTTTTCTTTTTCCGTGAAAACGAGGGCTTCGGGCCACAAGCAGGGTGGCCGGTCCCTGCTGTGGCTCTGGGGGTGCCTTCCTGTCCCTCCGTCACATAATTTTAGAAGGTGGAAACTGTAAGTTGGGGTCGAGTGTCGCTGCAGTAGCTCAAGCTATTTCCACCTGTGAATCGGCCTTTTTTTTTTGTTATAGTATTAGACTTTCAGCGGATCTTAACCTGTGGATGTATATATTTAGTATAACTATTGTACAGGCTTTAGGTAAGTATCCCTTTTGCTTACTAATTTTTCAACAGCTGTTACCTTTTAAAGATGTTATCTTTTTAAAATTCTGTGCGTTAAAGAGTACTGCTAGTTTAGTCAGATAAATTTTGGTTAGAGGTTTATACTGGGCGGATGGGCAGGGATAGGCAGTCTGTCTCGCTGCTGTTTTGCTACGGCTTAAAAAACCCCCACTACTTCTGCTGCCCCTTTATTCCTGAAGTGCCTGCCTTTCAGCGGCAAGTGAAGCCGTCTTGGGACGCTGTGCGGTAGAATGATGACCTGGGAGCTCAGTGCGGAGGTGCCCAGGCTGCTTCTCCTTGAAGGCAGCTCAGACTGTGTAGAGCTCACGGCCTTGCTCAGCGTGAGGCCTGCTTGATGCAGCCTGGCTTGTTTACTGTGGGGCCCTGCCAGATCTAAACCTGTTCAGTGTGTTTGTGGAGTGCTGCATCAAAGCCAAAAAGCTCTTCCAGAACTACAGATGCTCTGAACGCAGCATATACGCATTCTGCAGTGCAGTCGCTGCTAATGCCCTTCTGGCTACCTGCCAACCCAAGTTGGCTACCTGCTAAGACAGCTTATGTGTCTTTTTGTCTGTGGTGTGGCTCACAACTTGGATGGACTGTACGTGAAAAGTTACATTAATTTCTGTACTCGGCATCCCTTAGTGATTCTGATGGCTTATAAATCCTTAATGTGCTAGAGAAAGCAGTTGGTATTAGAATGCTTAAACTCATCCCCTTGGCATAGTGTTTACATTATTCTATTGTAAGGCTGTTGGAAGAAGCTTTTGGAGTTCTGTAATGGAAACATTGATTTATTAGGACAAAATTAACTTTCTGTATTTGGAGATCTGTAGAAATCTGGAAACTAATTTTAAATATTGAGTGTTCACCTGGCTACTGTACGTTGGTCATCCTATCAAATTTCTTAGCTCTCATATCCAAGTGTTCTTTTGAAGTTTTGTCCATGGCTGCAGTTTTAGTATCTCAAATTTTACTGAGATGCAATGCCATTTTTAAAGTTTTTTTGTATTTTTTTACGTTATTGTGATTTTCATGGGAAACAAGCTTGAAAAACATTTTGAACATCTGTCTTGCTGACACCCTTTGGTAGATCATGTTAATGATAATGCTTTTTCAGAATCATTCTGCAAGAATGTAACTTGTATGCCTTGTAAGGAAAACTTGGAGTTGTCCTACTTTAGATGTCATGTAGAAGTCCTCTTCCAGTAAAGTAAGAAGGTGGACATCCATATCTGTTAGTGTACTGATCTGCAAATATTTTACAGGCAGAGTTCCTTAGGAAGCATAGACTTTTTTTTTAATTAAATATTGAGATGGCGTGTTGTCATGAATGTATGTCACTTCGGAATTGCCTGTGCATACAATGTATGTTAAATCTACAATGTGTAAATATATTTATTTGCATCATTTGCTACATCTGAGGCCTGTACTTAGACTGAATTTATTTATCCTACATCTTCTGAAACTTCTGGAGACTTTGTTCTGCGTTGTGGCCTCAGTATTGGAGGGGTTGGACTGGCAGTTTGTCTTTTGTTTTTTTTTTACCTGCTAACTTTGTGACAATATTAACTCCCAATTAGGCAAAGCAGTCAGGCGGTTGGCTTACATGGGTGACTTGTTTTATCTACTTTGGAATATATCTTTGTACTTATAAACAAACACATCATAAGCCTTGTTTTTTGAGGCCTGTACAGCTAGTCAATCTCGGTGTGTATATGGTGAGCTGCTTTCTGTCTCACCTAGGTTGGAGCCCTCTCTCTTAAGTAAGAATGTAGCTAATGGTGTATTCTTCATTTTACTGAAGGGACCAGCCTTTCTTGTCTGTTTTCTTCTCTACCTATTTGAGGGGTGAGGGGGGGAAGTCCAGAAAATCTTGAGAACTGTCAGCTACTTTGATGACAGAGGCTCTCATTATTGGGAAGTTTGCTTTCAGTTCTGAAAGGAGGAACTCAAATATGAGATTCTGAATTCAGCTATCAGCAAGGGAGTAGTTTCAGCTGGGTATGAAAAAACAACTGTGAAATTGAAGATAAACAAGAAGAATTGGAAGTGCTCCATTTCAGCAGTAACTATGATGTTGCAACTTTTTTTGCTCTTTAGACAAGTTTTGGTTTGCCCTTTCTCAGAATTTGATTGCTGTTTCTGCCATGTGTTCTCCTGAATGTCTTGCTGCCTTGTGTAGGAGGTGGAGTGGTTTAGCATGTTGACTAGACTATGCATACCCTCCAGAAATTAACTTTTTATGGTTTCCTAACTCCAAGTTGTGGTATGCTTTATGCTTATGTGTAAGATTTGTGCCTGTAGTGAGCAAAAATAGTCTGGTTTTCCAATAAAGACGTTAAAAAAAAAAAAAAGTGAATTGTGCTTATTAAAATGCAAGTATGTAGGGTTACTGAAATGGGAAATTTAGTTTGATTTAGGGTAAGGTAGATAAAATAGAACTGATCGATAATGTTCAATTTTGCTAGCAAAATATTTTGCTTCTGATAATACTGTCTTTGCAGGATGCAGAGCTTCTAGGCTATTCTGCATGATTTTATTCTGTTGTGTAACATACTGCTGATAAGAAGATAAAAAGCAGTTAGCATTCTTTCTGGAATTCTGTCTGGACTGTTTTTTCATGGTGAATTCAATGCACAAATATTATTCCAGACAGTGAAATGCTTCCTAATTGCAGTGTGGTGTCTCTATTTTTAAGTAGGCCGTCAGGATAGCCTAAAATTAGCTTCAGGCCAATATTTGCTGAAAATAACTCTAAAAAAATTAAAACTTGAGTACTTTCTGGAATGCAAAGCAGGTTTCTTAACCCAAAAGATACTGGAATAATTAATTTGCGAAGGCATAGCTTCAACTAGTTTTACATTTAATTTTTAATTGTTTTCCAGATTCTTCTGAGTTGTACTTGAAGCCGCCAAAATGGTTCTAGCAGATCTTGGAAGAAAAATAACTTCAGCATTACGCTCACTGAGCAATGCTACAATTATCAATGAAGAGGTATGTAGTATGCATATGTGATTGCTTTCTAAATGTTGGTGCCAAGTTCTGAGAAGAAGTTCTCAAAGGCTGATGAGAAGCTTGAAGTAGGTTGATGTTATCCCAAAGCTCTTCTATTCCTTCAAGTAAAATTTCTAACTAGAAGTTTTAACCTCCTGATTGTACTGCCAGAACTTAGAACCAGATGTAGACATGTATAATCACTCAGGGATAGTGGGTCCCACAGTCAAAGGGTCCTTGAGCCTGGTGGCTGTTCTCATGGAGATCGGTGTTCTGAGGAGGTGAACGCTGGAGGAGGCAATATGTGCCTAAGTTTTGGTGGAAGGTAGGCTGTGAGACTATGTAGACTGCTCCGATTTATGTGTGTGTGCACGCAGCCAGACTATGGAGTTGTGTACTAGGCTGCTAGAAGCTGAAGCATGGAAGAACAAATAGCTTTCAGTGTAAACTTTGCTGTCTGAAATGTGAGGACTATGTTATGTTTGCTGCTTTTATATTCAAGCCAATACAATGTGTGGTTCTGGAAGCTGTTTGACTTGGTATAGTCTGTATTTTTTTTTTTAATTAAGAATTTGAAATTATAAATGTTTTCTGTTATATGGACTGAAAAGCAAGACGGAAAACTAACTGATGTGGTGGTTTAGAAGTGCCTCTGAGTAAATAAATTGCCAGAAACTTTTCAGGTAGACAGACAGGTGGCTTAAAGTAACTAAAAAGTAGGCTTATCGAGGGTTGCAGGGTTGGAACTTGTGCATAGAGGAAAGGTTTTAACAAATCTTCAGCTGGGAGACAACAAATCCTTAACTGAATCAAATACAGCCCAATTAATTTTTTTCAGCAGTAGAGACTTTTCTCCTGCAAGAGCTCAAGCTGTGCAAATGAGGCCATTTATGCAGGTGTTACTTTCAAAAAATCTTTTTGTTCAAGACTTTTCAAAGTGAAAAGAACTACTAAACTGGGTTCCTAACTGAGGCACCTGTTTGCCTAAAAGGCGTACCCCAGAGCAGCAGTCCAGTTTCTGCTGAGAATGCAGATAGCAGTGTGTCCGTCTTGCATTTAAGGAATACTTTTTTTTACAGAGATTATGTTGTGTTAAGAGATTCTTTTGTGGCTTTCTGTTACAGCTGTCTCTAAGGAGTACCCGTTGGGAAGTTTAGAAAGTCTTGCTACCATATGAGCTGCTGTTGTCCTTAATGCAATAGCAAGTGTCCTATGTTACTTTGTTACAGTGTGCATATTACAAATTGAGGACCCTTCTTTTCCAATATTACCCTTTCAAATTTAAATTGCATTTACATAGGAACAAACACATAGACTTTTTTATGTGTCAGTCAATGTAATGATAGGACTGCATGCATTTAATTTGTAAAAGCCTTGGTTATATCATAAATACACTTTCACATTCATATTTTGAACTAATACTGGCCTAGTCAATACTGTGTATTATAAAACCATTTTTCTTTTATACTCCAAAGGTTTTAAATGCTATGTTAAAAGAAGTATGTACAGCATTACTGGAAGCTGATGTTAATATTAAACTTGTGAAGCAACTCAGAGAAAATGTCAAGTAAGTGAAATAATCAAAATGCATTTAACTTCTAATGTTTGTAAAAGTTGTAATGTGAGGTTACAGAAGAATAACTAACTTCTATCTTTATATGGTTTTTCTTAGACACACTCAGTTTACCTTTAACAGAAAAATACAGTTTGAACTAAATGTCTAGCCAATTCCATCAAAAGAATCTTTGTCCAGTTTAGCCAGTCATTGCTGTTATAGTCTTGTCTCAAAAAACTGTTGCTGTCATCAGTTGAGCGGTATGATAAACAAGTTCTTTGTTACTTCCTAGACACCTCAACTTCACATGTTCTGTGCTGGATATAAATAGATCTGTGTATGTGACCAGTACTGTTACCTTGGCTATTTTCAGATGTGTAATTCAAGTAGATTCAAGTCTGAAAGATGCAAGTATTTCAGAAACCTGGCTTTGTCCTGCATACAGAAGTAATATCTCCAGTGCATGTCTCTTAAATACATCCTATCTGAAAACTCAAGGCAAATCAGGCTGCTGTTCCAGTTGCAAAGACTTCATTTATTACTAGGTTAAAGTGATGCTTTAAGTTACAGTAGTGTTTCATGGTTTTCCTAAACTCAGGTCTGCAATTGATCTTGAAGAAATGGCATCTGGCCTTAACAAAAGAAAAATGATTCAGCATGCTGTCTTTAAGGAACTTGTTAAGGTAGGACTTCAAAATTCTGTATTACGTCACTTTTCTTGTACAGCCTGGGCTGTGGAAGCAGTACAGTAGCAAGCCAAGCTTTAAGGTTATTGTGCGGTACCTACAGTTATGTTTTCTGTTGTGAGGCTACTTACTACTGCAAACACTAGTATTCTTCTGATTGAAACTACTTCCTGGGCATCTCTCAGACCAACTTTGATTTAAGCTTCAAGTCCAGCTATTCTTACTCTTCAGTTGAAATTTAAAGACAAAATAAGGGTAAAGTACTAATAGCTTCTGGACTGTCTTTGGTTGTTCCAGAAACACGCCTTTGCTACCTGCGTGAAGATTTGTTCAAACTACTTATAAGCCTTTGAAAAAGTCTTAAGTAACAACCCAGCAATTCATGGCAACATTTCTCTTTAATCTGCCTGCTTTGTCAAATCAGCACGGGGGTATCAGTATTCTGTCCTCTTTCTAGTTAACAGTATAGTCTTTTGTTATGCTGTAGTCTGTGCCCACCCATATGATGGCTCTCTGGAATGTATGTACCTTCTGCTCTTTTGAGAAGTGAGGCGGCAACCCTAAAAAGTCTTCTGTACTGTAGGATTCTCACCAGAAGAGGCCCATCTTGAGCAGTGATGGTGGGGTGGAGGTCATGTTTCTGTGTTGGTTGTTACACTTGTGCCATATGTACAGGCCACCCTGACTTTGGTGCTTGGCGTTAGAAAGAAATTAACACTGTTACTGTTACAGAATTATTATGCATAATACTATATACTATAGATATCTTGCATGGGCTGTTGCTGTTCACTGTAAATCAGCAAGGATCTAAGCCAAATGAAGACTAGAATATGCAAAAATTGGCTTGCTCTATTGAATATAAAGCCAGGCACCCAGCGTGACCGTGACACTGACCGGTGTGTGCTTCTGAAATTCAGTTCTGCAACATATATTGTACTTTGCTCTATAGCTTGTAGATCCTGGAGTCAAAGCATGGACACCTACCAAAGGAAAACAGAATATTATAATGTTTGTTGGTTTGCAAGGAAGTGGTAAAACAACGACCTGTTCAAAGGTAACTTGCACTGAATCTGTTTGCATGTCTCTCTTTCTTGGGGGGTGGAGGTGGTCATTGGATTCCTTTGGTAGGATTTGCTTGTGATCTGTGCTGTTTCTATAAGTAGGAAAATACTAACTGATTGCAATGTGGAGATATTTTTGTAGAGTGGTTTCTGAGATGAGATGAACGTCTAATTCTTTTGGGGCAATTTATGGCTTGTAGGACTTCCTTCAAGATTTTTTTAAACTAAACTCTTGATGAAATGATACCATATATGGATAACAAAGATGCTTTCTATTCCTTGCTTTCTGGGTTTAAGACTAGTACTATGAATGGAACCTATCTCATTCCATTACCTATTTCCATTACCTATTTAGGGGAACCAGTAGAAGTTGGCCCCTGTGTTAGATAACTCAGTTAAGTATGAGTGGGTGGTATGAAACCTGTTCTAGCCCCAAATTAACTGAGGAAATCTGGATTTGTATTTTTAAGGCTAAAAAAGAATGCTCTGAATCAACACTTAACCTATTTATGATGGTTGTTGGGAGGAAAAATTATCCTATGGAAAAAGACTGATGCATCTTTGGTTTTTTAGTCATCTGCTTTTGAGATTCATGCATAGGCTATACCGAATATATCGCTGCCCTGATTTCATAAGACTTTCCTAGTGCTTCTGTAGGTGAACTACATTGTGGAAGTTTGTTTGGTCAATCAAATGTTCTGTGAATGTACATTGTACCAGTGAAGCTGAGTGTTGTAAGAAAGTAAGGATTCCATCCGTTACTTTAAAACATGTCCTTGCAATGGAAATATCTTTGTTCCTCTGGATGTACAGAAACAGAGCTGTACAAGTTGTAGCCGTTACAGTACTTAATACTGAAGTAATTACTGCTTTGGGTAGTTTCTAAAGCTAGTCTTATCTGCAGTATTAACAGTAAGCAGAATCCAGGAGTTAGTAAAATGGGAACTGGAATTATTTGTAGTCATTTCTAGCTCAGGAAACTGAAATCAGAAGCAGAATCAAGCAGCTGTTTTCGTCTCGTCATTAATAATTAGATGTATAACATACTTTTTGAAATAACGGAGATGCTAACATTTGATACTTGCACAGTGTCACTAAGCAGTCTCAGTTATAGGAAGGCTGGCTTGACTTTTTGTCCTCTGTATGTACTTCAGTGACTTATAAGCTGTTATAGTGTCATGCTTTCTAGTGGGATTTTGGTGTAACTAGTTGTTTTGGATTTCTTTTCACAGTTAGCATACTTCTATCAGAGGAAAGGTTGGAAGACGTGTTTAATATGTGCAGACACATACAGAGCAGGTAATACAGTCTTTAATGATGTGGTTCTTTATCTCTAATACTTACAGATTTTTTTTTTAAATAGTCCATTGACTGTACCTGTCTTACAGGTGCTTTTGACCAGTTAAAGCAGAATGCCACAAAAGCAAGAATTCCCTTTTATGGGAGGTAAGCATCCTTCAGAATCAGTTTGGAGAACAATTCAACTCCAATGATGTATTGTTCCTTATTGAACATCTCACACTAAGCCCCATTCAGTGTTGCCTAATTACTTAGATTTTACTATAATACTTGCTCTGATCAGATGAAAGTTGTGCCTAGTTCAGTGTATTGTCTGCCAGTAGCAGCAGGTAGGGATAGTGTGAAAAGAGATCGGGGGATAATTCCCTAGAATGTTCTCTCAGCGTATAACAGTTTATAGGCCTTTACCAGACACATTCAGATTTTCAGGAAGTATCTTTACAGGTCAAAGGATACGATTTTTTTGGACCCTTAATTTTTATTGTCAAGTAGGGGCAGCAGTGGACTTAAAATAGCTTTTATAAAAGCAGTAAGTAACTTGCCCCTAAGCTTCACTGAAGGTGTACTGTCTAGGTCCTCAGTTAAATCTTATTTCAGAGAAGGGCTAGTAGAACTTAGTGCAGTCTTCAGCAGGTGAGACAGTCCTTTGTGCTTCAGTTCACTGAATAGTAAGGGCAAATGGCTTAGGAAGGCATATTTTTAATCAATTTTTGCTTGACATAAGAGGAAGTCCCTCTTGAAATCCAGGTAGATTTACAGTTAACAAGTTTACAGCCAAGTAATGAAAGTTTGAATTAGTTTTTTGGGGAACAAAGAATTGCATATGTGTATGTTTCTCTTTGTGATCAGTTATACAGAAATGGATCCTGTAATTATTGCCTCAGAAGGTGTTGAGAAATTTAAGAATGAAAACTTTGAAATAATCATTGTTGATACAAGTGGACGTCACAAACAGGAAGACTCTTTGTTTGAAGAGATGTTACAAGTTGCTAATGCCATAGTGAGTAGTTTCAAAAAATACAATAACTTTTGTTGTAGTAATTTGACTATTCAATTATATATATTTTTATATATATATATTTGACTATACAGTTCATTTATGTTTATCTCCTAATGTTCTGCGTGGAGTTTGCTCCTCTGGCATGTGTCAGCACTTTAACTCCTAGAATATATTAGAAATTACAAACGGATATGAAAAAGCAAGGGCTGGATGATCAGTGCTTGATAGTTCTGTGTCGGTTTTAATTCTTGTATCTGTAATTCGAGGATGCTTGCACATAACTAGACTACCGTTCCTGCTTTAACTTTTCCTTTTCAGGATCTTTGCATTGAGAAACTAGATAAAAGAACCAGTCTGATCTGGTAGCTATGTGTACTACATTTTCTGTGATTGTCACGAATAATTGCCCTGAAACAGAGAAGATGATTGGATAACTTTCAACAGTTTTGATATGTAAATGAAGCTGGTGTTTCTTGTATAGGTTTAAAAAGTCTGGCTATTTTTTTGATTCTGTGGTCTTGCATGATAATATGATGCTTCCCATACAACTGCTAATGGCTAACTTGTTTTCAGAGGAATGGATGTCTTAAAGCTCTTAATGTGAAACCAAATGGAAGACGTTAGCCATTAATTACTTGTAGATACTAATTAGCTTATTGGCTCAGATACTGGCTAAAATCACTCAAAATGTAAGTAACAACTGTAGACCTATTAAATTGTAATATTCTGCGTTGTAAATAAGTCTTTCACATAGTAATACAGCATCAGAGTTTTCAAATGGTCCTTAGACAATACCGTTCATAAAACAGTTGCCCTTTTGTTTTAAACTGCACAGCCTTTACATACTTACTGTTATTGCAGTAAGTTCTGCTACTGAACATAATGCACGAACACTGTTTAAGAAAGCAGGAAATCACTATTTTGTGTATCTCTCTTCTCTCCTAGCAACCAGATAACATTGTTTATGTGATGGATGCTTCCATTGGCCAAGCTTGTGAAGCTCAAGCTAAAGCTTTCAAAGATAAAGTAGATGTAGCTTCTGTTATTGTTACTAAGCTTGATGGACATGCAAAAGGAGGTGGAGCTCTTAGTGCGTAAGTATTGTGATATAATAGCATCCAACATCTGGCCGTGCATGGACAACCATGAAATATGTTAGTGTTTCTTGGAAACCTGTCCTGTGAAAGTGTCAGTGTCACACTGCACAGAATCTGAGATTTAAGTCAGTAACAGTTATGTTCTTACCCTACTTCCGGTGGATAAGATCACCCATTGATACTTAACGTCAGTCAGAATCCGATGTTATGATGTACTTCCAATACAGTAGTGTGTATTGTCACATGTCAGACTCCTGTCTTCTGAGAATAGCATCGAGCAATTATATTTATTGCATCTTGCATATCAGGAGTTTTTACCACAAATATAAATTTGGACTTAATAGATATGGCTTACCTGAAAAGTCTTGCTTCTCATTTAATACCCAAGATTGTTTTTTTCCAAAGGGGGAAAAACTCTGGCTAGTCATATCTAGTGGCCTTAAAACTGTGATGCAAATCAAACTTCTGGATTGCCAGTGTCCAACAATCTGGTAAAAAAATTAGTCTGCAGTCATACTTTCCTGAATTCCATTCTTGTTGGACTTCTCATGTGCTGTATCTTGACAGACTCTGTTGACTAGAAAATGTTACATTTTATCTTCAGCCTTATATGATGGCATGTCAGACTAATCTCCAGCTGCGTTTCAGTGATACAGCTTGTATGGAGCTGAGATGATTTGTCAAAACAGTCAAAGTTAACTGACACCAACTTACTAAATCGTTGTCTGACTTTGATCTTAAGTGTGAGTTCTTAAACTGCCGTATGTATTTTGCCATTGTTTATAGCGTAGTGATGAAAAACTAAAGAGCAAAATGAAAATACCAAAAGCTTGTTCCAGTCGTCACGTGCTTGTATGTGTTATGTCTGCTGTGTTTGTCCTATACTTTCTGTAGACTGGAAGCTGAGTTCATCTAAAAGCTAGTACCAATGATTGGTGAAAAGGTTCTGATTTTTCCTGTGTCTAAGCTTTTTTTCTGTATTGGAAATGAGATTGCTGTCTGTTGTAGGAGGTACCTTGAAGAAAAAGTAATCAATGCCTGTCTCATCTGACCTCTGAATATTGGGATAAAATGGAGATGATTTATTTTTCTTTCTTTCCCCTCAAGTTTCTTCAACTCCGCAATGAAAATAAGCAACTTCTATTTCTGTTGATGATTTCTCAAAGCAGAGTTTGTGTTTTACAAAGTACTAATTAGAGAAACATTGTGTCAGCTACTCCCAGCTACCCATCCTAAATGCTGGGTGTTTTTTGCATTAAAAGTTTGAGAAGTGAGAAAGATATTTCAGAGAGGATGCGTTGTGTTGATGATGCCTGGCTGATTATGTTAATAGGTGGTACAAAAGATGGGTGGTTTTTGAGAGGCCATTTCATAAAATATATTTTACTGCAGAGTTGCTGCCACAAAGAGTCCTATTATTTTTATTGGAACTGGTGAACACATAGATGACTTTGAACCCTTTAAAACACAGCCTTTCATCAGCAAACTTCTTGGTATGTACTGCGTACAACTATACTTAAAAGACACTTTGAATTGGATAATAGAAAGTCAAATTGTAATTTTTTTAATGCCAACTTTGGAGCTTTTTTTTCCAGGTATGGGTGATATTGAAGGATTGATAGATAAAGTAAATGAGTTAAAGTTGGATGATAATGAAGCACTCATAGAAAAGCTCAAACATGGTAAGTTATTCCCAAGGCCTGAATAGCGGGTGTATTACCATGACCTAATCATGGCAGGTTCTCTCAGAGATGTAGACCACCAAGTTAATAGGTAGATGTATATATGCGTATATGTATGTAGAGACAAGTAGCTTGTTTCATGTGCATAGTGAAGAATGTTTTTTATTTCTGTAATAAATGTGGCAGGCAAGTAAATTGAGTTATATTTTTCGAGTGATAAGTCTGTCAGACTATAACTGTCTGTAACTGCAGAATCACTAGCTTAACTCTTAAGTGTGTGCCATCTAAAATGGTTTGGCCATGTTCATAGTGGAGAAGAGGTTTATTTATCTACTTATCTTTGCAGTATAGTATTTACCTTGTAAATATAAAGAATAATAATTGAGAAAGGACAGTAAGACCAAAATGCTAGTGTGACTCTTGCTAATCTTCTTCTTTTGTTGTACTTCAGGTCAATTTACTTTGAGAGATATGTATGAACAATTCCAAAACATCATGAAAATGGGACCATTCAGTCAGATCTTGGTTAGTTATCCCCCAAATCATTTTATCAGATTTTCATTTGTATTTGACAAACTTCTGCTGTAAACTTAGAACTCTTCATTGAAACTGGTGCTAGAGTCTGTACTTTGTTTTTCAAAAAGGTGAAATGATTTGCCTACTGTGATACATAACTGCTGAACTAAAACTTGCTGTCCATATTTCTGGCTGCTTAATTAAAGTTAGCTTTGCCTATTCTGACACAGCTTTTGTTTTCTATTTTTAAAACAAGGGTATGATCCCTGGTTTTGGAACTGACTTCATGAGTAAAGGCAATGAACAGGAATCAATGGCAAGGCTAAAGAAACTTATGACTATAATGGACAGTATGAATGACCAAGGTAAAACAAACTTCACCCGCTATTTCTTTTCTCCATTGTTGAACAAGCTTATTTACAGAGATCTTTTTGGAAACAAGTTGGACATACGGTAGCATCCACAGTGACAGAAAATGACGAGGAGCATTTATCACTCTTAGAAATGGCAAAGAGTACATCTGTGTCTCAAACTTTCTGAATAAGTCTAAATATTTGGAGAGATACCTTGACTATTGCCTGTTGCTGCTCTATCTTGTGTAGAATAGATGGGATTTTGAAGCATTCTATTGGAAGTTAATGTATTTTTTCATACTGTAACTGTGCTGCTTAAATTATTAACACAATACTTGCAAATTAAAAAGTTATATTCATTTTTAATCTGTCATTGCTGTCTGTCTTCCTACCCTCAAATTTACTTGGTGACTCAGCCTGGTCTCTGGAATTCAAGGTGTATTGTTTCTAATCCACCCATAACTGTTGCAGGAGAAGTATGCTCTTACCCTTGTGCTAAACCCATTAATATGGCTTAAGACCAAGTATGCTGAGAGCATAATTTATTCAGGCGACTTTTTCTATCATGGTGATTAACTTATGAAAAAAACAAAACAGCTTTTTAGTACTATTCCCTAGAATATCATGTCTCAATCATTTATGTAAAATTCTAGAAAATAACTAAATTCTCAACAATCATGAGAACAAGTTTGCTACCAGCTGTAACAGATTTTAATGTCAGTAACTGAATGGGTTTTTCTCTCCCGCACTGTAATTGCAGAACTTGACAGTACAGATGGTGCCAAAGTTTTCAGTAAGCAGCCAGGAAGAATCCAAAGAGTAGCAAGAGGTTCAGGTGTTTCTACCAGAGATGTTCAGGAGCTTTTGACCCAATACACTAAGTTTGCACAGATGGTGAAAAAGATGGGAGGCATCAAAGGGCTTTTCAAAGGTAAAAAAAAAAAAGTAAAACGTTAATTAACTTAGTGGGGAGGTCACTTGATGGGTGAACACAGAGGAAATGTAAAAATGTAGATTAGGTGTTGGGAGAAGAGAAAGTGAGTTGTAGTTCACTCATTTTCATGATGTTTGAAAGCTCTTTTATGTAACTGGTAAGAGCTGCACTGCTCTTTGTGACACTAGTGTGTAACTTAACAGTGAAAACTGCTGTATTTTTGGCTTTATCAATGTAGATTTCATTACTACTACAATACTGACACTTTAGTCTGCTACATGGGGCACAGGGACTGTTGATCTTAAATACTTTTAAGTGGCTGATGTGCTAACTTTTGATCGTGGACTTGAATGGATTTGAATCTAGAATTAGGAGGTACAATTCTGAATTATTTTATTTTTAGCCCCATATATTAAACCACTTTCTTACGATTGTTTCTTTTGTTTAGGCGGTGATATGTCAAAGAATGTAAACCCATCTCAGTTGGCCAAACTGAACCAACAGATGGCAAAGATGATGGATCCAAGAGTTCTTCATCATATGGGTATGTGTTGGCTTTTTACAGCTTCAAGAGAGGACTACCAATTACAGTGGAGCATTTTAAATACAGAAGTGAGGAAGGTGATATGAGAATGTGTGCATTATATATCAGTATTAAGTATTTCTAGGTTTTCTAACGAGAATCAGAAAGTTTAGTCCATATGTTATGAATGCTTTGCACTTACCAGTGCTTAATCTAGTCTCTTCATTTGGATTCAGCTCTCAAAATGAGCAATTGGAGTGGTGTCTGATGAAGTAGTAAAGCGATGACTCGAAGCGTGACTGTGGTAAAGCGAATCTATTCCTGAACTTCCCTTCTCTTCTAAGCTTTGCCTCAAATAATTAAATTTGTCAGGAGCAGCTTTAAGTAAAGACTCCCATACTGGAACCTTACTAATTGATAATGGTTTTTTCTTTTGTCTAGATCTTAATGCACAGGTCATCTTAAAGCCTACTTTAAGCCCGGTGTTTTGCAGACCTTTCTGTAATTACTCCCTCAGTTGTCCATTTTCGATAGCCATTTAAACCTGCCTTGACAGACTTGGGCTTTTGCATTTGTATATTATTGAAATAGCATGTGTGCTGTAATGAGGTCTCAGAAGCAAGATAGATGTGCTTCAGAGTTAATTAACACATCCATGTTCTCACTTATTTTCTGCAGGTGGCATGGCAGGATTGCAGTCAATGATGAGGCAATTTCAACAAGGTGCTGCTGGGAATATGAAAGGCATGATGGGATTCAATAATATGTAAAGAAGCCTTAACAAAAATGGACTTGGTTGACTCTTCGTTGCAACTTCAGTGAAAGAATTTGCTTTCTTCCTTTTTACAGTGATGGGGGGAGTGATCTTTTGAAATCTTATTCAGGCTTCTCAGTTTCTACATCTAATTTCTGAAAACTATTTTTGCTTAAATTAGTTCCTCTCCGCTAATACCTGATGGCACAAAGAGTAATTCAATTTAATAAAACAAAATCATGATGTAAAATTTTAATATTTAGAGACACTTTTAAATTGTTTACATCAAATGGCAGCCATTATATTTGTAAACAACCCTGATCTTTGGTTATAGTAACATAAAATGTCACATATACTGTAAAATAAAATCTAAGTGGTTATAAACAAGGGAATGGTCTGTTTCTTCAGTTCTTTCATAACTGTCCTTTATCAGTATGTAATGAGATGACTTCCTTGGTTTGATTTGTTTCTAATGACGGTTGTAACTCGTGTTTGGCATAGATACTATAAGAATAATTCAGTATCTGAAGTGTGCTGTTGCTGCTCAGGTGTACTCTTTGAAGCGTTTTTAGAAGGTGGATGTGCTGTGCTCCAATTTGTACAAAATTTTGTACTCCAGAATT